CCTGGGGTCCTGGGGTCCTGGGGTCAGGGGTCAGGGGTCCCGGGTCCGGGGTCCCGGGTCAGAGTCCCGGGTCCCGGGTCCTGGGTCCTGGGTCCGGGGGTACCGGGTCCCGTGTCCGGGGTCCAGGGGCCTGGGGTCCCGGGTCCCAGATCCGGGGTCCGGGGTCCGGGGGTTCGGGGTCAGGGTCCCGGGTCCCGGGTCTGGGGGTCCAGGGGTCCGGAGTCCTGGGTCCCGGGTCCCAGGTCCAGGGTCCGGGGTCCCGGGGTCTGGGGTCCCGGGGTCTGGGGTCCCGGGGTCCGGGTTCTAGGGTCCGGGGTCCGGGGTCTGGGTCCCGGATCCGGGGTCCCGGGTCCCGGATCCGGGGTCCCGGGTCCCGGATCCGGGGTCCCGGGTCCCGGATCCGGGGTCCCGGATTCGGGGTCCGGGGTCCCGGGGTCCGGGGTCCGGGGTCCGGGGTCCCGGGGTCCGGGGTCCCAGGGTCCGGGGTCCCAGGGTCCCGGGTTCAGGGGTCTGGGGTCCGGGATCCCGGGTTCCGGGGTCCGGGGTCCGGGGGTCCCGGGTTCCGGGGTCCGAGGTCCGGGTCCGGGGTCCAGGGTCCCGGGTCCCGGGGGTCCCGGGTCCCGGGTCCGGGGTCCGGGGTCTTGGGTCCCGTGTCTGGGGTCCCGGTTCCGGGGTATGGGGTCCGGGGTCCCGGGTCTAGGGTCACGGGTCCGGGGTCCGGGGATCTGGGGTCCCGGATCCCGGGTCCAGGGTCCGGGAGGCCGGGGTCAGGGTCCCGGGTCCTGGGTATGGGGGTCCGGGGGTCCGGAGTCCTGGGTCTCGGGTCCGGGGTCTCGGGTCCCGGGGTCCGGGTTCTGGGGTCCGGAGTCCAGGGTCCCGGGTCCTGGGGTCCCGGGTCTGGGGTCCCGGGTCCAGAGTCCCGGGTCCCAGGTCCTGGGTCCTGGATCCGGGGGTACCGGGTCCCGGGTCCGCTGTCCGGGGTCCGGGGTCCCGGGTCCTGGGTCCCGAGTCCGGGGTCCGGGGGTCTGGGGTCCCGGGTCCCGGATCCCGGGTCCTGGGGTCCGGGGTCATGGTCCCGGGTCCCGGGTCCCGGGTCTCGGGTCCCGGGGTCCGGGTTCGGGGTCCGTGGTCCGGGGTCCGGGGTCCCGGGTCTCGGATCCGGGGTCCCGGGTCCCGGATCCAGGGTCCGGGGTCCGGGTTCTGGGGTCCGAGGTCCGGGGTCCTGGGGTCCCGGGGTCCGGGGTCCGGGGTCCCGGGGTCCCGGGGTCCGGGGTCCGGGGTCCGGGGTCCCGGGTCCGGGTCCGGGGTCCAGGGTCCCGGGTCCAGGGTCCCGGGTCCGGGGCCTGGGGTCCCGTGTCTGGGGTCCCGGTTCCGGGGTCCGGGGTCCTGGGTCCGGGGTCCCAGGTCCGGGGTCCCGGGTCCGGGGTCCCGGGTTCGGGGTCCCGGGTCCGGGGTCCCGGGTTCGGGGTCCCGGGTCCGGGATCCCGGGTCTGGGGTCCCGGGTCTGGGGTCCCGGGTCTGGGGTCCGGGGTCTGGGGTCCGGGATCTGGGGTCCGGGGCCCGGGTCTGGGGCCCGGGTCTGGGGTCCCAGGTCCGGGGTCCCTGGTCTGGGGTCCCGGGTCCCGGGTCCCGGGTCCGGGGTCCCGGGTCTGGGGTCCAGGTTCCGGGGTCCGGGGGTCCCGAGTCCGGGGTCCCGGGTCCGGGGTCGGGTCAGGGGCGGGGTCGAGGTAGGGGCAGGTGGTAGGGGTAAAAGGGTAGGGTCGAGGTAAGGGGTACAAGTAGGGGTAGGGGGTAGGGTCGGGGGTAGTTGGGTAAGGTGGTGGGGGGAGGGGGGGATTGGGGTGGGGTCGAAGTAGGGGCAGGTGATAAGCGGTTAAAGGGTAGGGTCGGGTAGGATAAAGGTAAGGAGTACTAGTGGGGGGTGAGGGCAGGGGCGGATCTAGCATTTACGTTCAGGTGGGGCCAAAATTTAATCAAATAACGTATATTATAAAAAAATGTCAAAATGTTGTACAGTATAATAATATCTTAGAAGTCAAAATGTAAATTATAGAAATGTCAAAGAATAAATTGAATATTAGACAATACAATTATCTTAAAAGTCATAAATATCGAACCGAAGTTTTATCGGTTACCCAAATGTTTAGTGCTAATTTTTAGGTTAGTTTCTCGGAAACAAGATAAACCGATTTTTTAATCTAAAATCTATACTCTATGTAAAGAAAACTTATTTTCACCTACGAAATCCAATGTATTCAACTAATTAATTTTTTGGTCAATATTCAAAAGTCCAATGAATAAAACTAATTAATTTTTAGGACAATATTTAAAAAGCTCAATCAATTGAACTAATTGGTTTTTAAGACTAATAAAACCCAATTAGTTGGACTACTTGATTTTTGCATCCTAGTATTAAAAAGTTAAAATTCAGACTTGATTTGTGTAAGATAGCTTGTTCCTGGACTGGGATGGAAAATAAAAAAAATATGCTCTAGCTAGGAATCGAACACACAACCTCTAGACTGCACAATCACACCTCTACTGTCAGACCAACGTAGCTTTTGTTTATAATAGGACGTTTGTTCTAATTATACCATTGCTTCACAATACATATAATATATATATATATATACTAGTAATTTTTTTTTGAGGTGGGGCCTAGGCCCTCCGTGGTCCTATGCTAGATCCGCCCCTGGGTGAGGGTATGGTCGGGTCAAGGGTGTGGGGTCGAGGTCGGGGTGGGGTCGAGGTAGGGGCAGGTGGTAGGGGTAAAAGGGTAGGGTCGAGGTAAGGGGTACAAGGTGGGGGTAGGGGGTAGGTGGGGGTAAGGGTGAGGTGGGGGTAGGGTGGGTCGAGGTAGGGGCAGGGGGAAAGTGGGTAGGAGGTGGGGTCGGAGTCGAGTCAAGGTAGGGGAAGGTGGTTGGAGGTAAAGGGGTAGGGCAAGGGATGAGGGGTGGGGTAGGGTAGGTGGTGGAGGGTAGGGTCAGTGTAGGGGTAAGGTGGGGGTGGGTATGGTCGAGTCAAGGGTGGGGGTCGGGGTTAAGGTGGGGTCAGGGTCGGGGTTGGGGTGGGGTGGGGTCGGGGTAAGGTAGGATGGCGTAGGGTGGGGTAGTGGGGTAGCAATAGGGTAAGGGCAAGGGTAAAGGTAAGAGTAAATTCGAAAACTGAAAAAGCATAAAGTGCCGCTTAATTAGTACATGTGAGTGGTATGCTTAGTAAGCGACACTTTAAGCACCTCTTTCAGTTAGTAAACAACGTTTTAAACAATTTGCGTGTCTACTTCACCTGTCTTACTAACCTAACTGTGACTTTAACAGCGATTATAAGTCATATATTTTGCCTATTGCATGTCATAATATCATGTCATAGTTGTCATTACTAACCTAACGCTTTAATGTATAGCAGCGAAGTAAACGCCTCCGTAGTATACACGAACTGCCTCCGTAGTTTACTTCCTTGTTTAATAAAGGGTGTTTGTTAAAACATGGGTTAGTAAGCTAGTGCTTATTAAGAGATGCTTAGTAAGGATGTGTTTACTTCAATAGGCTTAAAATATATGTTTTATACTAAATGTCAAGAATAACCTTTAAGTGCTGCCTATATCATTCATCGTTCTCTCTCGATGAAACAAAAAAACAGAGCATGTGGAGTAAAAAATAAATACAGAATGTATAAAGAGTAACAAAACACAGCCCAATAGCCTGCCATGAAATTGAAAAAAAAACATGTAAAATCCCCAAAGAAAACAATAAAACAGTAAGATAAATAGGATTACGTTTATCAAGTTCGAATAACCCAGACGGGTCCAAATACCCAGAAACTAGGTATATGAATTACAACTTGAATACCACTGGCTCCATAGTTCTCTGGAAATAGCCATAGTTTTTTTTTTTTTTTTTGCGATGGAAATAGCCATAGTATACGAATAGCAACTTGAATACCTAATCTAATTATGCAAAGCCGAAGCTGAGTATAAAATTTGTGCTATCACAGGTTAGGTTTAACCTTTTATCCAAAAAAAATCGAAAACCTAGGGCGTCGATTGCGACATTGGAGGAGCTTCGTCAGTGTTAAAGGCCTTGTATCCGAGAGAGGAGAGCTTTTTTGTGCCAGAGAAACTTCGGAGGAGAATGAAGTTTGGCAGAAGAGTCGATGTCTCGTATGAATGGAAAATATGAGGTGGCCTGCGGTTAAACTAGGGTACATATGTAATAAAGAAATAACAAGGCTGAAAAATATGGATAGAATTGTCAACAAAAACTACTTAAGTTGGCGGCTAAATAAAACATGGGGGGGGGGGGGGGGGGGGGGGCTTGCGCTTAGTAAACGCCGATTAAATGGCCTATCCGATTTAAGCAGCATGAAACGTTTACTTCAATCTCCTTAATAACCTAACGGTGGGTTACACGACCAAGTAAGTGGAATTGAGGAGTTTTCAAAATTCATCGATAACCCGACCAATCCAAACTGTGCTCATCAAATGTCAGTATCAAAGAAATCGAGTACAGTATATTTTACTGAGAGCATCATCAATGCTACACTTTTGACATTACAAAGTTCATGCCATATCGTCAAGTCATAAAGTGTTTAATTTTTTTTCTCTGCAATGGGCTCTTTCTTTGATCAACTTTGTGATGAGGTGTAATAAATAACCGCAACAATGTTAAACCCACTTTACAAAATTGAAAAGCCAATTACACTGGTTGAGTCCGCATATTCAGACTCTTCGTGGGTATGAAACGGGGAGTTTTATATTTTATATCAATTAAATAAATGATACACATGTATGAAACAATCCATTATAGAGATGTGCATTGTGTACCGTTTGGGAAGTTTAATTTTTCAGCTTTTCACATGCATCCATAACATTCCATATATTTAATGCCATCTGTCACAATTTTATTAATGTTAAAAACTTAGCATTGGAGTCGCTCTGAGCACTTAAACATTGCCACGGTGATAATTAGCCGTAGTAATAATCTCGTGAAACCAAATGCAGTGTTTTTGTCGCCGTATTAGGGGCTGTTTGGATGGACACGCAAAAAATTCACTCCGTACTCCGTAACCTCACATTGTACAACTATCAATGCTGTGTGTCACGGACGAATCATAGAGCAAACGATGTACGGCGGTACGGATGCACTCCATAGCACCGCCGTTCTACACCAAGAAGAGCAGCAATACTCTCCGATCGCAGACGACGAGGAAGGAGACGACGGCCCCGGCCCCGGCCCCGGCCCCGGTGTATGCGGCGGTGAGGATTCCGTGGATGACGTTTCACATCACGTCCAATTCGACCCGCATTCTCATTCCCAGGTTCTTCACAACGGCTCCATCGGCGCTATTGCGCCAATGAATGGAATGGGTGGGATTTCATCTCAAGCTCTCTATGTCCCTGGAGGATCGGAAATCATTGCTGCTCCTACTGGCGGAGTTGCGGCTGACCAGCTTACCCTATCTTTTCAGGGCGAAGTCTATGTGTTCGATGCTGTTTCACCTGAAAAGGTATTAACTTTATCAAGTTTACATATTTCTCTACTAGTCTTTCATGCATTTGATTATTGTGCGCATGGGTGTGCTTTGGCTGTACGAGCTTGAAGCTTTCGGTTAAGACTGAACAAATGATTCACATTTTTCTTTTGTTTGTTTCAAACCAGCGCATGTTTTCTATATGCATGTTAGTAGAGAGCAAACTTTGGGAATACTGTGCATGATTTATACTCCTTGGAGTTTGTTTGAATTGTGGATATTATGGAATCAAACATATGAAATTAGCTAAATGTGACTGTATCCAGAAGCTTGAATCTCTTTTTGCCACTGATCAAAATTTCAGGTTCAGGCAGTTCTGTTGTTGTTGGGTGGATATGAAGTGCCATCCAGCATTCGCAGTGTTGGCGTGGCAACCCAAAGACAAAGGGTACACTCCGGCAAGACTTTAATCAAGTATAGAAATAGAGGATTAGTTTCTCTTTTTTAGCACTTGAGGTTATTTCATCATTTGTGATGCCGTTTTTGTAGGGCATGGGTGAATATCCTGGAAGATTGAGTCAACATCAAAGGGCTGTTTCTTTGAACCGGTTCAGGGAGAAGAGGAAAGAGCGATGTTTTGATAAAAAGATTCGATATACTGTGCGTAAGGAAGTTGCACTGAGGTTAGCTAGTCGTATAATATTTTTTCTTTCTTGTCCTGTTGCTTGCCTCAAGCCTTTTGATAAGGTGTGGTAAATGAATACAATATATCATCATATTGCCCGTTTGGTTGGCATGTTTCTGTACACTAAGCCTCAACAACAAGTTTTTTACCACACACAGGTGAAAAGAAGTAGTGCAGAAGTTAAGAATGTCACTTCAACATTCATTTTTAGATACTTTTTTCTCTAATTTGTTTTAGATATACAAGTATATTTTGAAAGATAAATCGATAATTTGCCAGGTTGAGCTATTTCAGCTGCAATTGTAATATATCTAGCCACTTTCAGTCATACCAAAGAGGCTTATAATATTCAGCACACAATTTATCTTGTATATTCTCAAAGTATTTGTATATTTATATCTTATTCCATTGGTGCTGCCTTGTTGATTAACACACACACATACACATTGTAAATTAGTCTTCAAAAAACCCACATGCACACACATTAGGACAAGGATTAGGATTGGGCGGGAACCAGAAGGACTTTGTGTTACTACAGCACCTACAAAGGCATAGGTTTGCAGGTTGCCAAGAATTTAATAATTTATTAGTTTGATGTTTTTTCTGTTATGGCTCTTGAATTTGATTTAATAGAAAAGTTTACTCTATATCAGTTGCTTAAATATGTGAATAATACTATAAATTATTATCTTAAACTGTTGACATAGTGTTCTGTGGCAGGATGCAACGTAAGAAGGGTCAATTTACATCTTCTAAGTCGATATCTGATGAAGCAGGTTCATCTTCTGCAGATTGCAATTCAAATTCTGGACAAGAAGATCAGGAAACATAGTGAGTTCTAGCATTCTTTTTCTTCATTATTGAAGTTCAATTGATCTAATTTTAAAGCTGAGGTTTTATGCTAATGGCACTTGATCGTGTTACCTTTTTCTCTTTTCTGTTCAACAGTTGTAGTCATTGTGGAATTAGCTCCAAATCTACACCTATGATGCGCCGTGGCCCAGCTGGTCCGAGGTCACTTTGCAATGCGTGTGGACTTAAGTGGGCCAACAAGGTCTAACATCTGTTCAAAAATATTATATTCATCATAACACTTCTGCTGTATGAAGTACTTAATTGCATTACTTTTTCAACAAGCTTTGGTTAAACAAACTATGCATCATTTTCTTCATATACTAGCATTATTTGCATTCATGAGAGGCATATTTTAGTTTAAATTGTTCACTCTAAGTTTCACGTATTGATGTCTGAACACTACCAATTCACCTCTATATATCTTTTTTCTGCTTAATTATTTTGCTAAAAGCTTTAAAATGTTGCAAGTTTTATCAAATTCTTAAGACCTTCCTAAACTAAAAAATAAAATCATGGAAAAAAATGGCCTCTCTTCTCCTAGCAGTAGAGGTAAAGTCTGTGTGCATCTTACCCTCCCTTACACACTTCCTAGTGGGACATACCAGGTATGTCTAGTCTGGAAGCATAATTTTGGAATCCCTTTTTTATTGGTAATTTTCTTCCTTTGCTTTTCATGTGACGCTTGTTTTCCACTTCATAGTTCATTTGTTTGGATGATTTCCGATTCTTTGTCATCTAGATTTTGAATGAAATTCTATGGCGTTTTCTCAGCCTAAGTCTTTGTGTTTTTCTTTAATACTGAACCTATTAGGTGACTATGTTTTGTTCTGTAGGGGATTTTGAAAGACCCACCTAAAGTTCCACCTACCGGAGTTCAAAACCACATTGTCATCAAGACTGATGAACAGGTTTGTATGCCTTCAGCATTAACATAATGCATTTCCCATTTGCTTAATGTTATTTGGTTGTGGTATGGCTAAATCAGCTATTTCTTTTGAAAAGAAAAAAACATTTGGCAAAACTGGTTTGGGACAAATAAGTATATCTGATTATTCTTAATAAGCCAATTAGTGCTACCAACCAACGGGGCCTTGCTGTCTCTACGGTCAAATGTTGGTCCACTTCTGTTACTTACTACAGGAATTCTTGTTACTACCTTGTTACTGCCCCTCATATATTCCTTGTTCCAGAACAACAATGGTGAAGTGAACAGTGCCAGTGCTACTGCCATGATGTCTAAGCATACCCAGCCACCAACTGCTGAAAGGTGACAAAGCTATCGGTCGCCACTGACATGTTTACAACTCGTATACATATAGTGTTAAGGGTTCGAAATAATGTAATGACAGTAAACTGAAAATTGTGGCATTAGGCAAATTCAGTGTACATAAAAATCTCTTCTCCGCATTCGAATTGAGACTTGCGCCACAAGAGAAGAGATACTCTCAAAGTAGTCTCACCCTAGTTAGATGTGCTAATACAGACTACGAGTAGTTTTCTAGTTTCCCCATCACCTTTGCTTTCCTAATTACCTGTTTGACTTGTCTGAAGCGTTGATTAAACGAAAACAATGCTTTTACTGTGACAGAGTATGTACTTTATTATTACTTTTTTATTTCTAGTTTTAGCAAAGCCGGTTTCACATTCAAGTGCTTACACAGAAGTACTTTGTACCAAAATAGCTCTTAATTATTGATGTAGTTTGTGTTTGAAAATTGAAATATGAATTAACTTTGCAATCACTTTATTTTAACATTATAAACTTAGAAAAAAGCATTATAAACTTGATTTTAGTGCGTAGTGTGTTCAATACTCAGACATATAAATATGTAATTGCTTAAAGTATCTCTGGAACTAATAGAAACTTCATCAGTATTCATGTTTTACAACCTACCTGATATTGAAAATTTGAAAGAGGAAGTAAATTGATATTTTCATTTTTCAATTTCAGATAAACACAAAAAAGGTACATGTCTAATATAGACCGTGCCTGAAAACGGCATGCGCGACTAGGGATGGACTCGGTTCGGGCTGGGCCCGGTTCGGGCCTTGAACCGGCCGGGCCTCGGTTCAAGGTATGGGAGGCCCGGAACCGGCTCGGGTAACCCCCGGGTCCAGGCCGGGCCGGGCCGGGCCTCGGTTATATATATATAGATTTAGGTTCATGTGAGAATATAATCTTAGGAGAGAAATAAGAATAAATAAGGACCATTAGATCATCTCCTAATTTCTACGTGTGACTATTCCTTATGGAGGCTAGATGAGTCATTCTATCTTCTTTCCATCTTAAATTCATCCCTATCATTATGACTTCTCTCCTTCCTAAACCATCTCCAATAATTAATGATTTACTAGTTTCTTATGTCTACTACGTAGCATGTTTCTTTTTTTCTCTCTTGGCTTCACCATACAAAATTATTCCTTGTCCACTTGAGTCATCTCCTTCCTATGGATTATATTCTTGACTAATAAATTCAGTTTTTAATTATTTATTTTTGCATCCATCTTGGTTCTAATGTTTATTGTTTTCGAAAACTTATTCATTTTTATAGAGAATGATTTTTGAAATTCTTTTTTCACTAATTATTTTACTTGCACGGATCGAAGTGCTTATTACGATATGATGCATATAAAATGGTGCATCATTGTTGTTATAGTGTTTATGTTAATTTGTTTTGCGTTGGACAATTACATAAATATTTAATTGTTGGTTACGTTGTTGATTTCAATGCAATCATATTTATTTCCTCTTGCACTTTTACATATTATTATTGCATAACTGTAAGTGTTGATTAACATAGTTTTTTAGACTTATAGATTTGCACTCACAATTAGTGCACTTACGTTATTATTATGTGATGCGTCCATGTTAAGTGCTTAATATGTACTTCTAATAAGATAATAACAATGAACTTTATGTTAAACTTTTGATGCACTTAGCATATTTCGTACATGCACTTTTTACTAGTTTTTATATTTTAATATTTTTTGAAGATACAAGTGATACCAAGATACACTATCATAATTGAAAATTTGATTCTTTTGAAAGAATAATGCTTTCCATTATGTAAAAAATGCCAATGTAAATTTTAGAAAAAGTGTGATATAATACAACACTTTTATCCTTTGAAAAACAAATAGTGCACTTTTATATATTTACAACGCACATGGTAGAAGTGCATTGCTTTTATAAAGAAGTGTTAATGTAGAACATTAGAAAATGTGATATAATAATGCACTTTATATATATTTTAAATGCATGTTATAATTGATAGTCTACACCTTTGTATATTTATGTTCATATTTATTTAAGAAATAAATGGATGTGCAAAACAAAATGTATAAAATGTAAGTCAATATTCTACAAAATTCAAACTAAATATATCGAAGTGCAGTTTAAAGTGCACAATAACATAGTAAAAATGTCAATTGTCTTTAAATATTCAAAAATGTGTAAAGATTTAATTAATTTGATGTTGCATATATAATACTTTGAAAAAAGTGCAAGTATTCAATGTTCTAGTGCAAATACACAGAATTAGGTTGATGAAGTATTTTATCTACTCAAGAAAGCAATCAAACATGAAAAAGTGCACAATTCGAATAATGATTTTTATATCAAATTAATTATCCAAATTATATGTGAAATAATAGGAAATTTAAAAACAAAATCAAGTAAGAGAAAGCATATTTCCGTATTACTAAGGGAAATTAAGTAAGAGAAAACATAGGGAGTTAATGCTTGTTGATTATTAGCCTAATTCTTAGGAAGTTTTCCTATTTTAGTGTTGGACTACCGTCACATGCTTCCAACTACTTGAATGAGTTTTACCATTATGTCCCTAAATTTATTTTGAGTTGAACGGTTGCCTTAATTACAATCTCAATGATCCGAAAATCTAGTTAAACATCCGCTACTTTGAAAAATGCTAGACCATTGGATCTAAATATTGAGAGGTTTGATTTCATTCTCATTTTTCTCCCAAGAGACCATTCTCACCGGAACCCTCCCCAATATATATATATATATATATATATATATATATATATATATATATATATATATATATATATATATATATATATATATATATATATTGGTACTGGAATTGCCATTGCTCACCGGATGGTAGTGTTAGATTATTGGACTTATACTACATGTAATATTCACAGTATATTATTTATCGGGTTTAATTGTATGTTATATGCTATCTTATATTTAGGCCCAAAAATTAGTGGTCCTATGAATATTAATTTAAGTGGGCTAATAAGTTATCTAATAAGGTATAGGGCCCAAATGTGTAGAGACCCATGGGCTTGACCTAATCAATGATGGGCTGATTAGGGTTAAGCACTCTATAAATAAGGGGTTATGGTCCCTAGTTGTACACGTCATTCTGTCTTTCTGCATCCCATCGCTAGAGAGATAATCCCGAGGGTGTGTATCAACTAGAAGACACAAACCCTAGCCTCCGTCTCCCGGATCTCTAAAGGCCATCTCCCATGGAGTCAGGTACGCTTCCGCTCAGTTAATTCTCTAGATAATTTCAATATGAAGATTAAAGTATTCATGGATTTATTCCAACAATTGGTATCAGAGACTCCTTCATATTGAATTATTTGGAGTCAGTTTTATTTTTGTGATTTGTGAATCGATCGGCACTCGTTGGAAGATCTGTATTTTTTTTAATTGGCATTTTGGTATTTCATATATGTAATCTGCCAATTACAATACGGAATGCTGCGATTTGTTTTTTCCCTTTCCTATGTTGCTGAGTTTTTAGATCGTAGTGCAATTAAGATCATTACAATACGGAATGCTTCCGATTACTTTCTTTTGTATTTTGGTTAATTTTACCATTGTCGATTGGTTAATTTGGAATGATGAGATTCAATCTGCTTTAGAATTTTATAAGCATGTATTGATCAAACACCTTGGGACCTTAATACTATTTCTTTTCATTAACACTGTTATTACGTATGTCTTTAAGGTAATTAAGATCATATCATTCAAATTTGGATTAGTGGATTAAAAAAAAAGGATCTAAGTTGTAATTGGACGATTATCTAATACGTAGTACTTCATAAACATATGTGATTATTATCGGTTTTGATGGTAATCGGACGATTATTTACGGTTTGAAAAAAAATGTGTATTGTGTGTTATGGGATGAATAAACCCTATTTTGCGATGACACAGCGATTGGGAATGGCTTTTACAAATTATCGTTATACATAACACATTTGCATGTGATTCAGAAAAATTCGCCCAATTTTATTTTTTCAGATTTTCGAGTTAATATTAGCATGTCTAATATTTGAGTTAGTTAATTGATACAACATGCTGCCAAAGTAGCCTCTCTTGTTGAAATTAATTAACTCATATATTAAGATGATTGTGTACTTTCTTATTTCATGCGGATAATAATCAGTCCAAAGGAAGGTTATTATTTGGCCGAAATTTAAGTACATTTGTGATAATAAAATTTGTGATGATTATGAAGTTTTTCGTGTGAATATTAAGTCGGTCCAAAGAAAGGCTTAGTATTTGACATGATTTTATTATCAAAATTTTATTATTACGCCAAGAGTACCACTTGCAAGTCTAATTTATGTCCAAAGACAAGATTAGATGTTACGTTAGGTATCTTGTGATGGGGATTGCTAATATTTAAATTTAAAATTAATTATCAAATTAATTTCAGTTCCTAGAGCATATCATTTATATTATTTTTGTTCTCTTTCAGTCAACAATTCTGCTGCTACAATATCTGCTAATATTAATAGCATCCCAGTGCTTAACGGCACGAATTTTAAGGAATGGAAAGAGAATGTTATGATCGTTCTCGGTTGCATGGATCTAGACCTTGCACTTCGGACTGAGAAACCCGCCGCTCTTAAGGACACATCTACCCTCGATGAAAAGAGGGAGATGGAGAGGTGGGAACACTCAAACCGCATGAGTCTAATGATCATGAAACGTGCAATTCCAGAATCATTCAGGGGCACAATGTCTGATGAGGCCAAAGCCAAATCATTCCTTGCCGAACTTGAAAAGCGTTTTGCTAAAAATGAAAAGGCGGAAACTAGTACTCTTTTGAGCACTCTTGTTTCCATGAAGTATAAAGGCAAAGGGAACATAAGGGAGTACATTTTGGAAATGTCTCATATTGTTTCAAAACTAAGTGCACTAAAGCTTGTTTTACCTGAGAAATTGCTTGTGTATTTAGTTTTGATCTCTCTTCCTTCTCAATTTAATCAATTTAAAGTCAGTTACAACTGCATTAAGGAGAAATGGTCTCTCAATGAGCTCATTTCTCATTGTGTTCAAGAGGAAGAGAGAATAAAGCAAGATAAGACAGAAAGTGCTCATTTGGCATCTACCTCTAAGGGCAGCAATAAAAGAAAAATTAAGGAAGCTGCAAATTCGGGGCCTCCCAGGAAGCATCACAAGGAAACTAAGGAAGAAACTAAGGAATCTGGATGCTTCTTTTGCAAAGGGACTAATCACAAGAAAAAGAACTGCACTAAGTACCATGCTTGGCGTGCGAAAAAGGGTATGTCTCTTGCTCTTGTTTGTTCTGAGGTTAATTTAATTTCGGTACCAAAAGACACTTGGTGGGTAGATTCCGGTGCTACTACTCACATAAGTGTATCTATGCAGGGTTGCCTGAGCTGCCGA